TATTGTTACAACATTAAATTTTGATTACTTATAAATCATACCTCCTGAGCAATTCACATTTTGCCCAGATGTAGAGTAGCTCCTCCCAGTCTGGATGCACAACAAAAAAAAAAAAAAGAGGGGAGCCAAGCTCTCTATTGCTTTTATATCCACAAACAACAGAACATCACCATGCACAATTCTTTAACTACTACAATAATTTTGCTTTTCTCCGATTATTATACCTTATTTTACTTTTAAAATACCGATTTTAATTGTGTGTGTTGTTTTACAACAGAACCTATTTTATATTGAAATACAGGGTTGACTCATCTGGCCTCTCTCTACATAAGTGATCAATTCTCATTACAGGATTAAGACAGTTGTGCCCCCTAGCAGTTTAATATAATTAGATACTTCAAATATTGAGTCTTTTTTAACTGTTACTTCGTTACAACTTTCATATATTAAGTGAGCAACAGAATTAGGCCTAAAAAATGCATATACAGTACACACATTACATACCTTAAAATATTATCATCCTTAGCTTATAGTGAGGGGTGAATATATTTATTGTAGAAAGTCAGAATAAATGAAGAATGGGTATAAATGAAAACAATGCATTAGCAAAAGACTGTAAACAAAGCACTGTAAAGTGGGGACTGCCCTGTACAAACAAATAAAAACAAAACTTTCTTTGTATAGTATACAAAGTGTAGTTTATATGTAATAAAATATTGTTAAGAACATAAGAAAAAAGGAACACTGCAGCTGACCTACTGGCCCATGCAAGGCAAGTCTCCCCCACTGGCCCAAGCCAATGCCCCAGCCTAGTCAGGTCAGGTCACATTCACTTCAGGAAGGAGCATGGCATTTGACCTAGTAGCACAAGCAATATTTACCAAGGTTATACTTAACTTTGTATATCTTTGCTAAGGCCTCATTTGGAATATGCTGCTTGGTTTTGGTCTCCATATTACAAAATGGATATAAATTGCACTGAAAAATATACAGAGAAATTGTTGAGAGAGAGAGATGAAGTTGATTCCATGTATCAGAAACCTTTACTATGATAGGCTGAGATACTGAATTTGGACTCTCTGGAAAGACGTAGGCTTTGTGGGGGATATAATTGAAATGTACAAATGGAAATGGATTCTGAAGGAGGGGGTATAGATGTTGCAGGTTGGAGGGCCAACTGAATTGTAATGTCAGCTCACTTTTGACAAGACAGTGATTGAATTAGTGACTGTTGGAGTTTTCCTTATTTTTGTGGGTCTCCTTACTTCAGTGGAATATGGCAAGTATGTTGATTCTTCATTCTCTTTTACTTATAAATACATAAATAAAATTTTGACATTAGAAATATGTATGGGGGTCACCCCTCTCCCTAAACTAAATACATACTTATACAACAAATTACTTCTCCCTGTTTTTTTTTAATAAAGTATTGCCATTGGCCAAATTCTCAGTTAATATATTTTCACTGGTTGACAGCATCCCAAAAGGACACAGTCTTTACTCTTTTGAGAAGTACCAACAAACAGTATATGACAAAACATTATAGTCCATGACACAAGGGCCACAGTTCTGTGTGTTCCAATTTCACTGGCCCATTGATATGGTGTATTTAACGTTCAGATAAGGATTTTGAAATTTTCATCTTATTTTTTAAGTGCATTTTAAATTATGAATAATATAATGCTGGTAATTTTATAATATACTCTGATTCAAAAAACCCCTGACAAATAATCTAGAATTTAAAAATGAAAACTTAAAAATTAATTCACTACATGACAGATTTACTTGTTTGGGCAACACAAATGTTACCCAGTAGCTAAGCTAAAAGATGTACTGGTAAGTGATGGTTGGGTTGGTAAATGATGGTTGGGTTGGTAAATGATGGTTGGGTTGGTAAATGATGGTTGGGTTGGTAAATGATGGTTGGGTTGGTAAATGATGGTTGGGTTGGTAAATGATGGTTGGGTTGGTAAATGATGGTTGGGTTGGTAAATGATGGTTGGGTTGGTAAATGATGGTTGGGTTGGTAAATGATGGTTGGGTTGGTAAGTAATGGTTGGGCAAAGAAATAAAAGATTTTGAGCAAAGTTTTAAGTGCAGATACAGGAAGTATAGAGACTTCTAAATAAGTAGGACACTAGATTGAACATAGCCTACTTTAACTGTTCCAGATTTATTATGCTGAGGAGACAGGTCTATTTTGGAGATGTTTGGTTATGTAGTACCTAAGCCAATGGAGCACAGGAATACATGTAAAGACAAAATGTACAGAGAAATGGCAAGCATCGAACTTAAGCTAAAAGAATCCTTTAGGAGTCAGGAATCGCGGGAAGAACTAAAAGCCATAAATGAAATCGAAAGAAACCCAAAGTATTTCTTCTCCTATGCCAAATCAAAATCGAGAACAACGTCCAGTATTGGGCCCCTACTTAAACAAGATGGGTCCTACACAGATGACAGCAAGGAAATGAGTGAGCTACTCAAGTCCCAATATGACTCAGTTTTTAGCAAGCCGCTAACCAGACTGAGAGTCGAAGATCAAAATGAATTTTTTATGAGAGAGCCACAAAATTGATTAACACAAGCCTATCCGATGTTATCCTGACGCCAAATGACTTTGAACAGGCGATAAATGACATGCCCATGCACTCTGCCCCAGGGCCAGACTCATGGAACTCTGTGTTCATCAAGAACTGCAAGAAGCCCCTATCACGAGCCTTTTCCATCCTATGGAGAGGGAGCATGGACACGGGGGTCGTCCCACAGTTACTAAAAACAACAGACATAGCCCCACTCCACCAAGGGGGCGTAAAGCAACAGCAAAGAACTACAGACCAATAGCACTAACATCCCATATCATAAAAATCTTTGAAAGGGTCCTAAGAAGCAAGATCACCACCCATCTAGAAACCCATCAGTTACACAACCCAGGGCAACATGGGTTTAGAACAGGTCGCTCCTGTCTGTCTCAACTATTGGACCACTACGACAAGGTCCTAAATGCACTAGAAGACAAAAAGAATGCAGATGTAATATATACAGACTTTGCAAAAGCCTTCAACAAGTGTGACCATGGGCGTAATAGCGCACAAAATGCGTGCTAAAGGATAACAGGAAAAGTCGGTCGATGGATCTAAATTTCCTCACTAACAGAACACAGAGAGTAGTCGTCAACAGAGTAAAGTCCGAGGCAGCTACGGTGAAAAGCTCTGTTCCACAAGGCACAGTACTAGCTCCCATCTTGTTCCTCATCCTTATATCCACATAGACAAGGATGTCAGCCACAGCACCGTGTCTTCCTTTGCAGATGACACCCGAATCTGCATGACAGTGTCTTCCATTGCAGACACTGCAAAGCTCCAGGCAGACATCAACCAAATCTTTCAGTGGGCTGCAGAAAACAATATGAAGTTCAACGATGAGAAATTTCAATTACTCAGATATGGTAAACATGAGGAAATTAAATCTTCATCAGAGTACAAAACAAATTCTGGCCACAAAATAGAGTGAAACACCAACGTCAAAGACCTGGGAGTGATCATGTCGGAGGATCTCACCTTCAAGGACCATAACATTGTATCAATCGCATCTGCTAGAAAAATGACAGGATGGATAATGAGAACCTTCAAAACTAGGGAGGCCAAGCCCATGATGACACTCTTCAGGTCACTTGTTCTATCTAGGCTGGAATATTGCTGCACACTAACAGCACCTTTCAAGGCAGGTGAAATTGCCGACCTAGAAAATGTACAGAGAACTTTCACGGCACGCATAACGGAGATAAAACACCTCAATTATTGGGAGCGCTTGAGGTTCCTAAACCTGTATTCCCTGGAACGCAGGAGGGAGAGATACATGATTATATACACCTGGAAAATCCTAGAGGGACTAGTACCGAACTTGCACACGAAAATCACTCACTACGAAAGCAAAAGACTTGGCAGACGATGCACCATCCCCCCAATGAAAAGCAGGGGTGTCACTAGCACGTTAAGAGACCATACAATAAGTGTCAGGGGCCCGAGACTGTTCAACTGGCTCCCAGCACACATAAGGGGGATTACCAACAGACCCCTGGCAGTCTTCAAGCTGGCACTGGACAAGCACCTAAAGTCAGTTCCGGATCAGCCGGGCTGTGGCTCGTACGTTGGTTTGCGTGCAGCCAGCAGCAACAGCCTAGTTGATCAGGCTCTGATCCACCAGGAGGCCTGGTCACAGACCGGGCCGCGGGGGCGTTGACCCCCGGAACTCTCTCCAGGTAAACTCCAGGTAAACAGAAAGACTATCTTGGGGCATGACAATGCCAGTGGAAGACTTAAGATTGAAAGTGTTTATTTTGATAAATTTCATGATGTTAAAATAAATAATAGAAAGTGTTAAGTGTCATTGTCAAGAAGGCTCCCAAACCATGAGCATTAAAACTTGCGTGAATCTACACTACTTGTAAGTTATTGCATGAGTTGTAATAATTTACACTATACAGGAGGGCCCCGCTTATACAGCAGGTTAGGTTCTAGGCTACTGCTGTAAAGTGAAAATTATTTTAAAGTGAAACATAGCCTTTTTCCACTTTCAAATGCATATAAAAACCTTATAACATGTTTACATTTTCATGTATGTAGTGAGCAGTAGAGCTAGGCCTAAAAAATGCATGTACAGTACATATATTACTTTAGAATATTTTCTTCCTTATCTTACAGTGAGTGGTGAATATATTTATTTTAGGAAGTTTGAATTAATAGAGAATGGGTATAATTGAAAACTGCTGTATTAGCAAAATGCTGTACAGCATTTTGTTAATACAGCAGTGCTGTAAAGCGGGGCCCTCCTGTACTTATAAATTATTACAACTCATGCAGTGCAAGGTTTATGATGGATAAATTTTCTGAATAGTTCTGTAGTGAGTTTTGTGCAGCAATTGCTAATTAATCCATTTTAAAAATGTACTTTTTAACTTTATCTTTTTTTTTTTTCTAGTTTTGAGATGATCTGACTACAACCTCTACCTTGACAAGCTACCAATATGCAGACAGTGACTAACTCTGGAAAAACTACATAAAATATTTGAAATATGATACATCTAGAATTTAAATCCATTGTGCCACAGATACAAGACATAATTTCCTTAAATGTTTTTGACTATCTACAAAACATTATTCTAATCAAATGTCAAAGTCCTGATGATAAAGATAATTGGGAACCTGGTGAACTGACTCGCTTTAGAATTGATTTACAATCTGTGGACCGCCTGTACCATGCCCGCTGCTTCCGAGGTGCACCTCTTCGCAGCACTGTTCTTAAAGGTCACGCAACTGCAGTACAGTTCGAGTTGGTGGTTCATATGAAATATCGTGGCAAATTCATATTTGTAGAATTTATTATTGACTGTGCAATACCCTGCATTATGGGATTTTGGAAAAACTGTGGCAGAATGTATATCACTTATGATGCTAACCTTTTTTTTAATGTAATTCAAACTATTACAAAAAAGGACCTTATGTACAAGTCACTTAATGAGGATGAATATTGCTTTCAATGGGTATATTTATTTATTTATTTATTTATTTATTTAAAAATTTGTGCACACATACAGAGGTACAAAAAATACAGAAAAGAGCAGTATGCCAAAGCCACTTATACTATGCATAGCATTACGGGCTGGCTTAAAATTAACTTAAGATGAACTAAGCAATGATGACATCGGTGATAAAACTTTAATGTAAACAGATTACTATAAAGCACAAGTGAGTATTACAAAGACAGGTCATATGGTTGTATGCATTGTTGTACATTCAGTAGAATGGAGTATTCTGTTAGGTAGTGTATTTAAAAAATAATAAAGTTAGATTGGGTTTTAGGTTTAACATTTGTGTGATATAATTGTGAGAAACATTTAAGATATACAATTTATAAGGTTCAGTTATTCAGTATTTATTTGGTTTTGGGTGAGTAAGTGATCTTTGAGAAGAGACTTGAATTTATAAACAGGTAGTGTTTCTTTTATATTTACAGGTAATGAGTTCCAGATTTTAGGGCCTTTTATGTGCATTGAGTTTTTGCATAGTGTGAGATGGACACGAGGAACATCAAAGAGTGATCTGTGCCTTGTGTTATGGTCATGTGTTCTGTTGAGGTTGGCAAGGAGATGTTTGAGGGGAGGGTTAATATCAGAGTTAAGTGTTCTATGTATGTAATAGGTGCAGTAATAAGTATGAATGTTTTGTATGGTGAATAGGTTTAGTGTATTGAATATTGGTGGAGTGTGCTGCCTATAGTGAGAATTTGTTATCATTCTAACTGCAGCCTTTTGTTGGGTAATTAGTGGTCTGAGATGGTTACTTGTTGTTGAGCCCCATGCACAAATTCCATAGGTGAGATAGGGGTAAATAAGAGAGTGATATAGGGCCAGGAGGGCTGACTGTGGAGCATAGTACCGTATCTTCGATAGTATGCCTACAGTCTTGGAAATTTTCTTAGAAATTTGTTGTATATGTGTATGAAATTTGAGTCTATTATCAAGGTGGATTCCTAAGAATTTTCCCTCTGTTAGCTTTGTGATAGGTGATCCGTTTATCATTATGTTAAGAGGGACATCTGTAGCTCTGTTACCAAACTGAATGAAGTAGGTTTTGTCAATGTTTAGTGTAAGTTTGTTAGTCCTCATCCAGGTAGATATTTTCTGTAATTCTGTATTTACAGTATTGGCTAGCGTGACTGGGCTCGGGTGGGAGAAGACGTATGTAGTGTCATCTGCAAATAGTGTGGGTTTGAGTAATTGCGAAGCATTTGGTAGGTCATTTATGTATAGGAGAAAGAGAAGAGGGCCAAGGACACTTCCCTGTGGGACACCAACTGTAACTGGTTGTGCAGAAGAGTTTGCCCCATTTGCATACACATATTGGCTTCTGTTGCTGAGGTATGACTTGAGGTAGTTGAGGGAGTGCCCTCTTATACCATAGTGTGACAATTTTACGTGGAGCAAGTCATGGTTAACTGTATCAAAAGCTTTACGTAAGTCAATGAAGATCCCCAGTGGGACTTCTTTTTTTCTCTATTGCAGTATATATATGTTCTAGCATGTGTATAATAGCATCATTAGTATTTTTATTTGGCCTGAATCCAAATTGGCAGGGGTTGAGTATGTTTTGGGAGATAAGGTAGGAGTAGATTCGTTTATGAATTAATTTTTCGTCCACAGTTATTACAGCCTAATCGCCCTACTTTAAATTTTTTGTGCCATAGAACCATCAGTAACAACTTGAAAACTCTAGAACATGATTTGCAAATCATGCCAGTTATGCTGAAAAATACTCTGACACAATTTTCTGCTGTTCGGAGAGCCAGGGAGATCTATGATTTCCTAGTGTACCCTTCGGCTTTGCCTCAAGAAGTATTTTAGAATGAAAATTTTTATTGGAGTGATGAAGATTGTGTTAACAAATTTAAAATGTGGTATTTGTGGATGAAATTTGGTTATTTACCAGGAAATTAATATTTTCACTCATTGCAAAATTCAGTATGGTGTTAAGGTTTTATTACTTTGGGACATGTCTAAAAATTTTCACCTACTGCTGCCAATAGTACTACTTCCTTATTTTCCCTTCCTCTTCCTGTCTTCTCTTGTGGTCTCTGCTTTTTTTTCAATCAATTGTGACTTGACAGTGGTCCAGGATGAACCACTGTCAAGTCACAGGCACAATACAGGCATAATACTGTGACTTTTTATTCTTCACAAAGTGTTTCTTGTAGAAGAGGGGGAATATGAAGTACATACACCCATGTAGCTATAGATCATTGTTAATGAAAGAGAAATGTGCAGAACAACAAAGATAAGATGGAAAGTAGTGATTCACTAAGAGAAGACAGAGCCAACAGCATATTTGGCTGAGCATATTTTCTTATGAAATACGCTTAGAAAAAGACAGAAAAGCTCTAGAATATCTGATTGCCTCTCAAACCCCTGGTGCTGTATGACCTCCCTTCACTCTTTCCCCTAAATATAACAATAATAATCTGTACAGCATTAGGAGTCTATGGAGGGGTGGGAAGTGTTTATTACACTTAATTTCACTTCAAGACTGGCTTATGTGGGATGCATCTCAGTCGTTCAATGGGGAATGTTGTATTATCTGCCAGGAGACTGGACAAGGGTCTCCTGACATGGGTCTTAATCATGTAGATGACCCATTGGTAATTAATAAGGGATGCTTGTATTATATGCAGATAGATAAGATTGTATTCTTTATAACTGAAATATAAAGATCAAATACATACTTTTTTTTTTTGCTAGCTATAATCCTAGCAAAGCATTACATTTTAACTCTTACTTCATTCTTATTATTACAAATATTATTACCACTTCTTAACAGTCTTCTTCATTTTTTAACTATATTATAGTCTGTTAATATTATTGCATCTTAGTACAGTATGTATATTACAAAGATCATATCACCTGAAGAAACTCCACCCCAGTGTTTACCACAAGAATTCCACCTCCCTTGATCTAATCTTCACCTGAATATCCCCTTGAGAGTATTGAAATGAGGAATAACTCTCCTTCCCGAGTATTCACCTGAGTCTCCTCTCTAGTGTGTTCACGTTTTCTACCTGTAATCTTCCCTGAAGAATCTCCACCACAACATAACTACCTAACATAGCCAATTTAACCTAACCTAGGTAAGGTTGTGGTGGAGAATCTTAGTTAGCCCTTTGATCTCTCTGTGCCAACCTCACCTGAAGAAATTATCTGCCTCAGCCCTTCAGCTGAAGAATCTCCTTCCCAGCACTACCTGTGAGAAAAAACCCTTTTCAGGTGATCACAGCAATCTGATTCATACTTGGTATAACTTGGGTAACCATGCCTCATGTCAGCTTTTCATGGTAAGCTCAAGTAACATTACTTAGATCTCTTGCCAATCATGTCAGTTTTTTCTTGGATTTCATTCATATCACACACCATGTTCTGAAGACAGTTCAGAAACAATCGACTTAATGTAATATTTTTGTACTATTTTCATTTTTACAGTATGTATGCATATTTTATTTCCTAATCACTCAAATTGCATTAAAATCATATTCATAACTGTTTCATCTCCAACCTTTAACAGAGCTAGTTCAGGTTAAAATCTGGAATGTGATATGAACCTAGCGATCTTGGAAATAGTGGTGGTGGAGCAGAAATGGGGCTCAACTTTAAAATATCTGAGTTCTTGATGTCTGTAAAGGGCTGACCCTCATGTGCATATATGGGTTGTTGGTCTTTGTTGTAATGAGACGTCATGTGATTTTTACATAGGGAAGCTGTAACACACGCATGCTCTGTTTTATTCAGCAGCCATTGTACATCATTGGATATGACTAAACACTACTTTTGTTATGTAATAACTGTGATTATGAGGGGCCATATCAAATAATGTTATAATAGTGTTGTGTATTGTAAACCATCAATGTATTTTGGGTACTAATAAAAACTTCTTAATATCTTTATTATATAATAATCCAAATCACACTTAAAGCTAAACTAATCTAAAAATAAAGGGTGCTTACAAGAACCGGGGAGGTTTTGTCTTTACTGCACTAGTGGATATTCGGAGATTGAAACTGCTGGTTGGTCCAGATATTCTTAAAGAAACCCTTCGTGTCCTTTTGAGAAAATTATTTTACCAGTACTTCCCATTATAGGACTGCTTTGATGTTGAAGGGATCATGATCAAAAAGGAATTGGAGCTACCTGACTCTTCCCTGATTGCCTTATATTCCCCAGGAGCTTTATGACTTACAGGTTTATTGTTTTCCCTTGAATATAATGATAATAAAATTAGATGGTATGTATTACAGCATAATGTACCTTTTTTGCTGAAAATTTGTGAAGGACAAGAAAGACAGATGAGAAATTACAACAGGCTTTTCACTCTTTCATAACTAAACTCAAACCAATAGCAGAAGAAAATACACAGTACGTACTGTATAATGAAATTTTATTTTTTATTGTATATATTTAACCCCTAAATGGTCCAAACGTATATATACATTCTTACTGTTTTTACCGCTAGCGCCCCAAACATATATATACATTTTATTTTCCTGCTTCCAAATTTGGCACGATTGACCTGAGATGCCTGGTCAGCATAGAATAGGTCTTAACACTCGGTGTGCACCATATTAAAAAAATCTGGGACCACTTGGTATCTTGTGGGAGCGCCAGTTAAATTGAGCACCAACTAGAGAAAACAGTGCAACAAACACCAAGGATTCACTGATGTCATGTTTTATTAACATACCCCTTTTAAGAGGAAAGTGATGTTGACCCCAAGTTTAGTGGCTTTGAGGTGGATGTGGCCACAAGTGGTTGAGGATATATCAAAAACCTGATAATAACCCATGTGCAACATTTGTGCAATACCCTTTCAGAATGTCTTATAACCTATGCCCTAAATAAAGAGAAACAATTCTCAAACGTGTAGTTGGCAGGCTGGCTGGCTGCCTGGCTAGCTGGCTCTATCTCCATCTGTCTGTCTGTATCTATGTCTGTCTTTGTCTGTCTCTATCTCTTTCTATCTCTGTCTCACAGGCACAAATAAATACAATTATACATAATGTAAATTACCTAGGATAACCTAAAAAATCCAAAGTGCTATACAGGTCTCCCTCAACATTCACGTTTTCAACTTTCACGGGCTTCACACATTCGCGAATTCCCAACAGCCAAATTCCCAGCCACCAAATTCCCAGCCGCCAAATCATATTTAAGTTTCCCGCCACCTGTGAGTCCCTACTACCCTCCCTCTGACCCCCGCAACTGGCAGCCAGCCCTCCCACCACTCAGTGTGGTGAGTGGTTTGTTTGTTCATTATTTGCTCTTAAACTACAGTATAAATAATGTAAACCCATTCATGACTGCATATTGGAATGGCTATTAGGAAACGTATTAGACGGTGACATCATGTGTTTACTCTTGAACACTGCAAAGAATTAAACATTTCTGCTACAGCTAATAATAACAATAGTAATAATAGTAATAATAATAATAATAATAATAATAATAATATAATAATAATAATAATAATAATAATAATAAATATGATATAATTGAAAAAGGAAATTTTACAAAAATATGAGGGAGTGGTTGACACATCGTCAGTGTGACTTTGTTTATGCTGGAGTGAACATTAGTCTCCCTGCTCTTCCAAACATCTCGCAATAATTTATTGTGTTTGGTGCTTGTAGACTGAGTGTGACTGGAGTGGTAGAGGCAGTGATTGAGGCAATGGTATTTAATAACATACATGTTAATAATAATCACACATAAAGTGGGAGTTGTCACAGTTGCTCTTTGCTGATGACACTGTGCTCTTGGGAGATTCTGAAGAGAAGTTGCAGAGATTGGTGGATGAATTTGGTAGGGTGTGCAAAAGAAGAAAATTGAAAGTGAATACAGGAAAGAGTAAGGTTATGAAGATAACGAAAAGATTAGGTGATGAAAGATTGGATATCAGATTGGAGGGAGAGAGTATGGAGGAGGTGAATGTATTCAGATATTTGGGAGTGGACGTGTCAGCGGATGGGTCTATGAAAGATGAGGTGAATCACAGAATTGATGAGGGGAAAAGGGTGAGTGGTGCACTTAGGAGTCTGTGGAGACAAAGAACTTTGTCCATGGAGGCAAAGAGGGGAATGTATGAGAGTATAGTTTTACCAACGCTCTTATATGGGTGTGAAGCATGGGTGATGAATGTTGCAGCGAGGAGAAGGCTGGAGGCAGTGGAGATGTCATGTCTGAGAGCAATGTGTGGTGTGAATATAATGCAGAGAATTCGTAGTTTGGAAGTTAGGAGGAGGTGCGGGATTACCAAAACTGTTGTCCAGAGGGCTGAGGAAGGGTTGTTGAGGTGGTTCGGACATGTGGAGAGAATGGAGCGGTACAGAATAACTTCAAGAGTGTATCAGTCTGTAGTGGAAGGAAGGCGGGGTAGGGGTCGGCCTAGGAAAGGTTGGAGGGAGGGGTTAAAGGAGGTTTTGTGTGCGAGGGGCTTGGACTTCCAGCAGGCATGCGTGAGCGTGTTTGATAGGAGTGAATGGAGACAAATGGTTTTTAATACTTGACGTGCTGTTGGGGTGTGAGCAAAGTAACATTTATGAAGGGGTTCAGGGAAACCGGCAGGCCGGACTTGAGTCCTGGAGATGGGAAGTACAGTGCCTGCACTCTGAAGGAGGGGTGTTAATGTTGCAGTTTAAAAACTGTAGTGTAAATCACCCTTCTGGCAAGACAGTGATGGAGTGAATGATGGTGAAAGTTTTTCTTTTTCGGGCCACCCTGCCTTGGTGGGAATCGGCCAGTGTGATAATAAAAAAAAAATGTTAATAATAATAATACATGTTATTAATAATATGTACTATTATTATTTATAGCATATGTTATTAAATACATACATGTTAATAATAATACATGTTATTAATAATATGTACTATTATTATTTATAACATATATGTTATTAAATACCACTGCCTCAACTGAATTATTGTGAAATGTTTGGAAGAGCAGGGAGACTAACGTTCACTCCAACATAAACAAAGTCACACTGACGATGTGTCAACCACTCCCTCGTATTTTTGTACAATTTCCTTCTTCAATTATATCGTATTTATTATTATTATTATTATTATTATTATTATTATTATTATTACTATTGTTATTATTATTATTATTACTATTGTTATTATTAGCAATAGCAGAAATGTTCGATTCTTTGCAGTGTTCAAGAGTAAACACATGATGTCACCGTCTAATACGTTTCCTAATAGCCATTCCAATATGCAGTCATGAATGGGTTTACATTATTTATACTGTAGTTTAATAGCAAATAATGAACAAACAAAACACTCACCACACTGAGTGGTGGGAGGGCTGGCTGCCAGTTGCGGGGGTCGGAGGGAGGGTAGTAGGGACTCGCAGTGGTGGAGGCACTGGTGGAGGCAGTGGTGGTCTGTGGTATTTAATAACATACATGTTATTAACATGTTATTAAATAACATACGTTATTAAAGCATAACATGTATATATTTAGTACAATTTACGACGTTTTCATGTATTTTATGATTATTCATGGTTCAACAAGTTAAGGAAGCAGTATTGTAATATATTTCCCTACAATATATTGGGGCACCAAACATTCACGGTTTTTCAACATCCGCGAGGCTCTTGATCCCCTAACCCTCGCGAATGTTGAGGGAGACCTGTACTGTGCTTGTAGATATAATGCATAAGAGTACCTGTTGGCTCACAGTGGCTCTCTCTGAGACAGGCAAGCAGAGAGATGGAGAGACAGGCAGACAGAGAGACAAATAAGCAGAGACAGAGATGCACACTCATCAAATGTCACCCCTTATCTCATCCTGTCACTGCACCCTCGCCAATGCTCATCAAATGTCACCACTTATCTTATCACTGCACCCTCAGGATGCTTGTCATTGACACTTGGCTTACATCATGCTTCAAGGAAACTTATTATTATTATTATTATTATTATTATTATTATTAATTATATACTCCCATGTATCCAAAACATTGCTGGGACCTATAAATAGTCAATTACCAAGGCAGGTGTAAATGTCCACTTGTCAGTGTGTTTGTGACAATCTGAGTACAATTTCAGTAGCTAATATTAGTGTCAGAACAAAGATTGGTTATGAAATCACAAGATCTATAAATTGTAATTATCAGAACATAAAAATTATATAAAATAATATAAAAATGAGAAAGGTATATTGGCAACACTTCTTCAAGCAGCAGGATTCGATGTTGCTGTCAGGTGAGCATCCAGTGCCAACTTCGCAGCCTCATATCTCAGTAAGTACTGACCCTAATTTTTTTTATTTTAATTCTTATAACACTTAGAAAATTGTTCTCTTTATTTCTATATAATTTTTTTTTTTCAAAATATTCGGGGCACTGGGTGAGAGAATGTATATATGCATTTGGACGTTTAGGGGTTAATGAAAAAGGGAAGGTAATTGCTTTCCAGAGGAGTGCAAAATATGTACACATATATATTTCCAGTTTCCAATGTCTTGGTAAGTCATAATCCCTAAGCATAGATTAGGTATTTATTTATTTATTTATTTATTTAGATATGTAAATGTTCTAAACCCAATGCTATACATGTATATCTTTGTCAAGCAAACTACCATAGAAGGAAGGTAACTTTTCAACTGAAACTTGCGAAGGTGAAGAAGAGACTTTGGATGCCAAAATTGCTCAAATAATTTTTTTGTTATTCATCCATTCATTAGACATTTTTGAGAACCAGGGTAAGTACTGTACATTATTTAGGATCTACAGTAAGTAGAAAGTAAACAGCCATATGCCATCTCCACAATACAAGATTGCTCTAGAAATGCAGCATTTTGAAGATGCAATGCTGATGAATGCTTAGCACAGAGGTTCTTAACCAAGGGGTATGGGACTCAATCTCTGAACAATTTAAAAAAAAAAAGTTGACAGATTAGAATAAACTATCCCATGTCCTGCTCCTTGCT